TTAGGAGTGGCCATTTTCCACAGGGACAATATGCTGCTGCCCCAGGCTTACCTGGGGATGCCTTTTCAGTTGCAGGGTTGTGGCAGGATTGTAGGCATGCCAGTGGGGTGCCCTTGTGGCTCTGGTTCACATGAGTGGTGCCTTGATGGTGACTGGTGGGTACCTGGCAGCTCCCTTCCTCCTCAGCCTGTTGCTGGCTGCCTCGTTGGCAGGGCGTGGGTGGACCTGGAGGGGACCTGGCCAGGTAGCTGTTCTAGACCACCTCCTGCCTCCTTAAAAGTCCATATGGCCAACAGGATCTCACCAGTTTATATTCAGCCACCCCTTCCTTGGTCCTATGCTCTGTAGCACTTTGTTTCTGTTTGCCAGCTGTTTTTTTAAAAAAACATTACAGCTTTAGGAGGTTTTAGGCATTGGTTCAGATCCATTTGTGGGGAAGCTGTGCCTGCTTGCCCATCTTCCTGTGGAAGGGATCCTCAAGGCATCTTGCGGTGGAGCCAAGAGGCAGCAGGTCCAAATCAGGTAGTAAGGGATCCACACGGAGGCATATGCCCATGTGGCTCCACCATACTTGCCATTCCAAGTTCACCCTTCCAGCAGGCAGCCTGGGGTTAAGGGTTCCATCAGCCATCAGGTGGGTTACCCGAGATATGTATCCAAGGATCATTTCCTATGGGAGCGCACAGGAGCGGAGCTCCGGCAGTAAGGAGCCCAGAGGGTGGGCACATGCAACAAGCCCCACCCCCTGCTCCCAGCAGCCCTCAGTCAGGCTAGCAATCCAAAAGAGTCCAGTGGCACCTTTAAGACCAAGTTTTATTCAGGTACAAGCTCTCCCTCCTCTGTGAGGGCAGATCTGCACATCCCCCCCCCAATAGCTAGCAATCCAAAACAGTCCAGTGGAGCCTGAGCGGTGGGTGTTGCCTTCTGACACACTTCCGGTGATGTTAGGGGTGTGTGTGGCATATGCAAATGAGTTATGCTAATGAGTTATGCTAATGAGCTCCTGCACCTCTTTTTTTACAAAATGACCCCTGTATGTATCCATACCCAAAGCTGCATGCTACACTGCACCCTGTGTTCCTGTTGTTGTCAATAAAACAGTGGCCTGTTTCACCCAACAATGTCACTGCATGTGTGTTTGTATTGGGCTGCCTGAGCCCTCACCCCTTCACATGCCGTTGGGACTGCAAAGCTATTCTTACTCGCATACATGCTAACCCCATCTTCTAGGGCATAAGCAACAGCAGCAGCAACAAAAAGAGGTTGGTATGGAGATGCCACCGAAGACAACAGCACTTTTGCAAACGTTCCTGATTTTTAAGGCACATCTGTAAGAAAATAAAGTGAAGAAGGAACTGGAAAAATGCAAGAGAAGGGAAGGCACGGGGAACTACCATGTTCAATGCAATTTTGACGCTAGCCAATAGTCTGCTATGGAAAGGAGGAAGAAGTTGTGCGTGAAGAGAGAGAGACAGAGAGAGAGAGAGAGAGATCTCTCTCATTCCACCTACAGTTTCTGCAACTAGAAACAATGGTGTGCATTGGCATCACAATATTAATTTGATCCATTTTCACATTCAAAATTAACTTCATTGGCCAATCCAGAAATAAAAACTGGGAAGAAATATTTTGTGTGGAAGGCTTGAACTGATAAGCATTTTTTTTTGGTTTTTTTTTTAACATTGGATCAGTTAATAGATAAGGATGATGACTTTTTGTCATTTTCTCAGCTGAGGTCTCCTATGATTTGTCACCTAATGCAAAATGGCAAAACTTGCAATTGAACATTTCTTGATGTCCAAATATTACCCTGGGGCATTAAGTGTTTCAGAGTCCCCTTTGCTCTTAGAAATTCTAAACAAATTGAGGCAGAAAACAAAACCTACAATATTTGTTTGTACATATTTGATGTCAATTAATAAACATGATCTGCAGAGTATCAGAAATGAATGAAATAAGGAATTAGATAACGCTATTTTGCCAAAGGAATGGGATACCATCTAAAAGACTATACCTTCTCTCTCCATGGATCTTAAATTGGGCCTTATTCTTGGGGGGGGGCATTTTGGATATATTAGACACCACAGTGACTCTGAGTAAAGTGTCTCAGTCTGGGCATTTCTTACAGGATGCATCCTTCAGACAAACTTTTTGGTGTATTCTGTCATATCAATCCATGCTACCTTTGTGTGACTCATACCTTGAAGACATTATCTCTGTAACCTTACAACTAATTCTCTCCCTTTACATTCATTCATTGTTAATATTATTTGATCACCTATGTTTATAACTGGAATATATTGTATAAATGTCATTAAAAAACACTTTGGGAATCAGTAGTGAAAATCAGTAAAATAAAAACCCAACAATCGGACACGGAAACAAAATGAAAGGGGGAAAAAAGCATCTTTCATAGCAATAATTATGAAATACATTTCCCAAGATGGTGGAAATTGACCATCATGGTGATTGACCGAGGAAAAGGAAACTTTCAGTTTGTCATCCCTATTTTGTTTTCAGGGGAAAGTGTGATGTGAATTCAGTAGAGATAAAACACCTTAACGTTGATTCGCTCCAAGAGTGCTTCCATAGTTTTGTTTGTTTGTTTACATCTACCCACAAAAAAGAGGCTTCCAAAATGGCTGAGCATCATACAACAGTCACCACACAGACTCCTACTGACACCATGTTGAGGGAAGAAATGGTGGGACTTAGGTTGCTCAGTGGAGGGGGGCAGGTGAAGTGGAGAAAGAAGCAGTGCCTCCAGTCCTTCAGTGCAACTAACAAGGGAGGAAAAACCAAGAGGCAAAATAAACAGAAACAACATTTCAAGACAAACCCATGGGTCTTAAATTTCTTACCCCTCAAAAAGAGAAGTTAAAATACAAACAGGGTTTATTCAAGAGAGGTGAGGTATCGCCTCAGAAGGGTGGGAAAAAGTTTCCCTCACAAAATTCCACCGAAAGGCCAGTCCCAGGGTATCCAAAGCATAGCAAGTTGGCTACTATTTTGGGTGGTACCAAATGAGGCAAGATGGAAGACAAACTAGCTGCTATCCCACTTGGCTCCCTGGTGGCAAACAGTATCTGAGAAAAAGAGAATTTCAGCTAGGGCAGAATCCCAGGGTGGTGGACCAGTTCCTTTCTGATGCCTTTTCCCTATTGGGCTTCACTGCTTACACTCTATTGAGGACATAAATGACACAGCAGAAAACACTCACTTCAGTTTAGCTAGATGTAGACATTAGTACAACCCACTGAAAGCAAAAGGATAAGTTTTTGTATTAATATTTTATTGACTGTACATGTATCCATATATTTTATACATATCTTAACACTTCATTTTCCTTATATTCTCCTCTTTCTAGAAATCATATTAAACATTGAAAGCATATAAATAATCTCCATCCTCGTTATCTTATTCCCTTTCTTTACCCGCTTAACCCGACCACCGTACAACTTCCTCTATTTCATTATCGAAACATTATTAGATTCTTCCTTAATTTATCTAGGACTTCTTTTCTTCTTTAGCTGGATTCCCTCCATACACACTTATTTTATACTTATACTGTATCTTCTTCCAAACCTAGAAAGGAAAGATGAAGAGGGTTGCCTCCGAAACTGGGTGCTGCAGAGAAGCCTCTGCAACAGAAGGAAACCCTCCTCTTTCTGTTCGGAGGTCTTTGGCGGGGCACACCCTTCCCCTCCTTGCTATGCCATTGGTTTAACAATTCCATTCCTGTTGTCTATTTTCCTATATTATAATTCACACTTATCCTATCTATTAAATCTAACTTACGCTATATGCTAACATACTAACATACTAACTCTAACTTACTTTATGAATTACTTTCTATCACTCTACTACCAAACATACTATCTCATTTCAGACACTTCCACTCCTTAAGTTAGTTACTGCATCTACTAAATTTCCCCCTGTAATCTCATTAAAAGCTGTGAACGTTTTATTTTCCATATTGACGACTAAATGTCCCAGGAGCAGCCATCTGTACTGAATTCCTTTTTCTTTGAGGGTTTTCGACATTTCCCTGAGATGTCTTCTTGCATTAATTACCTCTGCTGGAATGTCAGGAAAAAGATATACAATTGTGTCCTCCAGACTCAGACCTTGCTTGTCTCTTGTGATTGCAAAAAGTTTATTTTTTGTCTGTAGCTGTTTAAACTCGACAATTATGTCTGGTTGAGCATTTTCAGGAGCCTTTTTGGAGATGTTTAGCCAGAAGGTGGAGCTGATGATCCCTTCAGGAGACACTCCTTCTCCTGCTGCGAGAAGGATTTGAGTCAGCCATTTATTTAAAGCTGCAGTGAGATTCCTTTTTCACCAGAATTTACAGATACTCCATGAAGTTTAGCTTTATTTTCTCTCAGTTTTGTTTCCTGGAGTATAATCTTAGTCTTAGCCCATATCTCAAACTCCTGAAATTCTTTGATGTCTTCTGCATTCTTTTTTGCCAACTGATGTGCTGATTCAGCTGTCCTCTCTGTTGTTTTGAAGGCTGCAGTAAACTCATCTAATTTCTTATTTATTGGCTCAATTGTTTGTTTGAACAATCCAAATTCCTTTTTTTAGTTGTCCAACCTCTCCACTCAGTGACTTTATATCATTCTTAATCTCATTCCTTATCTCTTTTAGGGCTTGCAATATCACAGTCTGTTCGCTTTGGTTGGGGTTACTCCCCCCCCGGCTGCCATTTTGTCTAACAGAGAAGCCTCCAGGTCTGACTCATCTGAGAGTCCTATTTCCATATTACTCTTTTTAGGATGTCTGTAAGGAGGATTCTTGGCATCTTTCTTTACTCTACTTCTTCCCATACCTGGTGTTGATATTTATTCCAGTCAAGGCTGTGTTTCCTGTAAGCAGAGCTCTAATTTTCCATGGGGATAGCAGGAGCTGGAAGGGATAAGTTAATCGAGTCAAAGTAAAGTAATTTTCTTTCTGTGAGACTGAGTATAGGCTTACTGCATTGTTGTCGGGGACTTTTATATTCTTTCATTTGGTCTTCTCATAATTTGAACCTTGGTGTTCAGTTTCGGCCTCATAACAATAATATAGCATTTAGGGAAAAATATGCAAGCCAGCAAGCCAGCACTGGAGGCTAAGATAGAGAAGACCTCCACAGCCACCATGTATTTTCCTTTTGTGCTCAGATAGGTTGGAACAAAGGTCAGCCAAACACTGCAAAAGACCAGCATGCTGAAGGTGATGAACTTGGCTTCATTAAAACTATCAGGTAACTTCCTACCTAAGAAAGCTACAGTGAAGCTGACAGTGGCCAGGAAGCCCAGGTAGCCCAAGACAGAGTAAAACATGGTGACCGACCCTTCATTACATTTCAGAATCATTTCTTCAGTCATTGAGTGCATGTCAAAATCTGGGAATGGAGGAGACGTTACTAACCACATTGTACAAATAGTTGTTTGAAGAAAAGAGCAACAAAGAACAATGGAGCTGGCCAGTTGTTTCCCCACCCAGTTTCTCATCCTGGAGCCTGGTTTGGTGGCTAGAAAAGCTAGAACCACAATGATGGTCTTGGCCAACAAACAAGAAATGGCCACGGAGAAGATAATGCCAAAAGTAGTTTGTTGAAGGAGACACGACAGCTTCTCAGGTCGGCCGATGAATAGCAATGCGCAAAGGAAGGAGAGCAGGAGGGAGACGAGGAGAAGGTAGGAGAGATTCCGGTTGTTGGCTTTGACTATGGGAGTGTCCTGGTTCTTAATGAAGACAGCAAGCACCAAAGCTGCCATAAAAGGGAAGGAAAGCGCAGAACTGGCCAAGGTGATCCCCACAGGTTCTTCATAAGACAAGAAACTTATAGGTTTTTGCAGGCATAAGTCCTTATTAGTATTTGGATATTGATCTTCTGGGCACTGAAAACAGTCATTAGTATCTAACAAAAGAAATATGCATATAGGTACATGTAAGACCTTTGTATAGTGTTTTGCATTCATCTATATGACCAGGGAGTACATAGGCCTGCTATATGGAAACCTCAACATTGCATGATTCTTATGAAATTAAGGTGTGTGTGTGTGTGTTTTAAAGTCATGCTAATGAATGATACAGGAGCAGCACAGTTCATACAAGACTTCTGTCCTTGGTTAAGTAAGCCTCATCACTAAATACATCTTTCAATTTCCAAAACTGGAAGTTAATAACACTTCCATCTTATCCAAACATCTCATAATTTTGTTCATTTCCACCCAATCACCTGTTTGATCACACATACAACACACAAAATCACACATACACCAGAGGTTGTAACAGCTTTTATATCACATCATCAACCCCACACACCACTGAAAACAAAATGGAAATCAGGTTTCAAAGCTAACGTACTCATTTTTTAAAATATAAACCAAATTTATCCTTCACCTCCCCTCTCCCAAAGATTCACACCTTCTAACTTTTTTTTCTTTTTTTGAGGGGAAGAACCCTCAAATTAAAAAGCAAAAATATATTCAAAGCTTTATCTAACATAAAAAGCCAGCCTTGCAATTGTAAATTTCAGATGTGGTGTTAGAATAAGTAAGGAGAAGTTTATGTTATAAACTTGGTGTATGCAATCCTTACCCTCCAGGTTTGAAATCTTCCCTTCTGGACATGGAAAGCAATCATAGCAGCAGAATGGCTTCCCTTCTTTTGTTCTCTTATTGTGGCCTGAATGGCATCTGTCATTGCACAGAGAAAGAGGCTGCACCTGTCCATACACGAAAGAGATGACTGAGCTTTTTTACATTTTGGAGATATATTTCAAGAGTTTGTGTTTCACTGGTCAGTCTTCTATGTAACTAGAAGGTTGATACAAGTGTGACACAAGATTTATTTATTTATTCATTTATTTAATTTATACCCCGCCCTCCCTGCAGGGTATAAACGTTGTGCACTAGAAGACAGATTTTCATATACTATACAGATGTCAAGAAAACATGACTTCCATCACAAGGTGGGAAGTGCAATCAAGTCACAGCCAGCATATGGATATCCTGTAGGTTTTTGAAGATGCTAAATGCTCAGGGGTGGTTTGCCATTGGCTGCTGTTGCACTCCCAACAAACAGCATTCAAAGTTCTCTTATTCACCTCCAATTCGGGGCCCATGTTACCCCACCTCCGAAAGCCTTCCATTAAATGCCCCATAACCTTCCATTAAATGCCTCATAAATGAGGATGGGTCCTGATCCTTCCCCTGTTTTATTTCCCAAACCTTATTTAAATTGGTAATCTTTGGAATAGCCTCCTTCAGCCATTTTGCAATATAGGCTCTATAAACAGCAAATTTCTCTCTCCCCTCTACTGTCCCATGACCCCAAGTTGTAGGGTTAGAAGTAGGAATTATAGTGCTGATTTCTGCGGCCCCAGAATTACCTTTAGTTTTCTCATCAGTCTCACAAATAGAGCGAGCCTTCTCTAAAACCAACTGCTTCTCAGGAGAAAGAATCTGATTCAAAATCTGCTGGACATCGATTCATGTGGGCTGATACATGTTACATAGATCCTCAAATTCTTGGGCCACTTTCTCGGGATTTTCTCTGTATTTTGGAAAACCCTCTCCCATGACAACAAATCAGTGTTAGAGAAGGGGTGGTATACAAAAACAACTTGGCCACCAGGCACTATGGTTTCTCTCGATGGGATCACAAAATGAGCAAACTTAACAAACTGTGCTTCTAATTTACCCTCATCAGGAGAAGAGGTCAAAGGAACAGTATTATTAGTGTTAGTGCTAGAAAATGTACAACCTAGGGTTAAATTCTTTGGTTTAACATCTGGTGTAGCAAAAGATCCCTGCATCTGTTTGTCTACCTTAGAAGGATTATTTGAGAAAGTAACCACTGACCTCCCCTGTGCCTTCCCCCCCCAGGAGTCACAGATTTAACCTTAAGAATGTCAAAAGGGGGGGACTGTAAAGAAAAAGGATGAAGGAAAGAAGAAAGTGGATCAGATAAACTGGAAACATCAAAAGTTTCAAATTCATCCTTCCCTATATGCTGAATCCCAGGGGTCGTTTCCTGCAGGAGCGCACAGGAGCGGAGCTCCAGCAGTAAAGAGCCCAGGGGGAAGCACATGCCAAAAACTCCACTCCCTGCTCCCAGCAGCCCTCAGACAGAGCAAGAAGCAGCCAGGTAACTTGCAGAGCTCCCCCCGGCCCCCTGGTCCAAAACAGTCCAGTGGCACCTTGAAGACCAAATTTTATTCAGGTACAAGCTCTCCCTCCTCTGCGAGGACAGATCTGCACGTTCCCTGCCCCCAATAGCTAGCAATCCAAAACAGTCCAGTGGAGCCTGAGTGGTGGGTGTTGCCTGCTGACACACTTCCGGTGATGTCAGGGGGTGTGGCATATGCAAATAAGTTATGCTAATGAGTTATGCTGATGAGCTCCTGCACCTCTTTTTCTACAAAATGACCCCTGCTGAATCCCAAAGGATCCCCCTCTCTGCCCCCTTCAAAGCTACAAATGTTGGAGAAGACAGAGGAGAAGAAGGACCTACCCCCCCTTTACAGGAGGTGAAGTTCTAACCGGCACCAAATGCCCTGTAGGTATACTTTGAGCAGGACTAACAGAGGAATGAGTAGGACCAGCAGCTGGAGCTGGAACAGAGGAATGTGCAGGATGCACAGAGGAATGTGCTGGAGGGGAGCTGGAGCTGGAGGATGTAAAAGATTCACAAGTGGAGATGGCACAGATGTGAAAGACAAAAGGTCCATAGGATCCTCGAGGGGGAGGCAACTGCAAATCCTTAGAGACTGGCTTAGCAACCTCTCCCCTCCCTGAATCTTCCCCCTTCTTTTCCCTTTCCTCTCTTCATTCTAAAGCACGCACTTCGACAGATCTGGGACACAGGCTAACAGAGCCATATTTGAGATTTTCCCTTACAGTAATTTGCAAAGATTTTGACAGAGGGACATTATTATCTCACAATGTTCCCCTGGTCATAGCAGGTAGCCAAAACTCAACATAATCACATTCTTCCAATTTGCCATGGTCTTTACAAAAAAACCCTCAAGGCTCTCACAAGCTGGACATCGAATGGACCATGAGCTGGCCACTTCCCTCCCTCAATGGGATATCCTGGCCAACAGGGCTCATTTCTTGTAGGAGTGCGCAGGAGCGAAGCTCCAGCAGTAAGGAGCCAAGGGGGTGGACACATGCAGCAAGCCCCACCCCCTGTTCCCAGCAATCCCCCTCACCTTTCCCAGCCCACTGGCCAACCCAGTGGAGTGCTGCCATGAGCTGGCCCTCAAGCTGCTCTACTACTGCCTGGGCCATGGCATGTCCTCATGCCGGTCTTGGTGTGGTGCCTCTGCAAGTTGGGCCCCAGCTACTCCCGTGAGGCCTGCAAGAAGCTCTGCCCCCGCCTCCTGCACCTCCTTGGCCTCCTCCTGCACTCTCCACCACCCTGGCCCCCTACCTGATCAAGGCCATGTGCATCCTCCGCACTGCCCTCCTCAACCCACAAGCAGCCACACACTTTCCTGCACTTGCCATCCATCCAAAAGAGTCCAGTGGCACCTTTAAGACCAAGGTTTATTCAGGTACAAACTCTCTTTCCTCTCTGAGGGCAGATCTGAGGGCAGATCCAAAAGAGTCCAGTGGCACCTTTAAGACCAAGATTTATTCAGACAAAAGCTCTCCCTCCTCTGTGAGGGCAGATCTGCACAACCCCCCCCCCCATAGCTCACAATCCAAAACAGTCCAGTAGAGCCTGAGTGCTGGATGTTGCCTTTTGACACAGTTCCAGTGATGTCAGGGGTGTGTGGCATATGCAAATAAGTTATGCTAATGAGTTGTGCTAATGAGCTTCTGCACCTCTTTTTCTACTAAATGACTCCTGCTGGCCAAGCTGTCATGCAAAACATAGCAAGCTTATCAACTGGGTATTGCAAATCATTAAATCTCTTTCCCACCTCTTCCTGACCCACCACAGAATTCCAATTCTGAACCATTCATATCAAGGGAGTCCTAACCTTAATCTTACTTCCCCAGTTTTCCATCTTAACAGAGACAACACACAACCCACAAGCAACCCACAAACAAGGGAAACTAAACCACAGAGGGGAAACAACAAATCACACACACACAAGCACAAACACCACAGAGACCCAACCACCAGAACCAAATCACCCAAACACTTTAAAAACCACAACCAGAAACCCTTCAGGTGTCACACCCCTATTCCAAAGTAAGGGAGACTGACAAAGGATTTACAGAGCCACCCAAAAAGGTACCTTGGCCGGCGTACAGAAGCTGGTTCCTCTTCACTGGACTCCAGGGATTTACCTACTGATGCCCATGACAGCCACACCCATGAGCAGGCCTGAGGCCAAAGGATAGCTGAAAAGACAGCCAAGTGCACCCTCCTTAAAGCATCTTGCCCCCCCCCCGCTTCCAGCAGCAAAAATCCGAGTCACCAGCGGCAGGGCCCCATGTTGGGCGCCAAATTGTTGTACAAATAAATTCCCAGTCAAAAAATGGAGTCAAAACGAGGAGGAAAATCTTAGTGTTTTAATTGCAATCAATACACCTGAAAGACAGTTAGGCCAACAAGCCTATCAAAAATTGACTGCTTTCCGAGCACAGCAAGGAAACATGTCGTTATATACTTGAAATGACATCATCATACCATCATCATGAAAATAATATTCAAAAAACATTATTGGTTACAAAAAATTAAACATCATTTGAATAAAAAGTCCCTTATTGGTCAAATGTAAAGAAAGGTGTGTCTATACAACAGCATCAAGTGTTTATTTGACCTAACCTGAATAATATTGACCAAGGATTCTTCATACCCAAAGGTGTTTTTCTCTGATACAGGGCTAAAAATCCTTTTTGACTCAGACACTGTGAAGTTGTAACCTAAACAATTAAAAAACCATGAACCTTATACCTTCTTCTGTACCAAAAGAATGTTATTGTCTTGTCTGCTGACCTATAAAGAAAGGCCTTCTATATAACAAGCCCTGACCTACAAAGAAAGGTCTTCTATATAACAGGCCTTCATTACATCCTAATAAAATCTTATTAAGAATAAATCTATAAAACCAGAGAAATATTAATAATCAAAAAAGGGGGGGGAAACACCTTTATAATCTCATCTATTCTACACTGCCTCTATGTAGCAGCCCTAGACTTCATGGTGGTCTCCCATCCAAGGATTAACCCTGTTTAGCTTCCCACATCTGATGGAATTGGGCTAGCCTGCGCCATCCAGATCAGAGCACCACAAGGCTTACAAATCCTGTTTGCTTTAGTTGAAATTAAGACCCACTGTTTGCTGTATGGCTTACTCCTGGGCAAATCACCAAAGATGCAGAATAGACCGCAAATGGCTTAATGCAATACATGTTCAAAATTTTGCAATGGTATGATTTTAAATTGAAAAAAAAAAAGAGTGATCAGATTAGGACTCAACTGACTGGCAGACCACAAAGGCAAAACTGTTCAAGAATTTGAAGTAGGAACCACAAACGGAGCTCCAGGAAATGAAATGATATACTCTGAAAAGCATATACCTGGTTAAACATGTGGGGCCAAATGATTGCATCTTCATGAATGGTGAGCACTTTGTCTTCGGGAGCTTTGGGGTCAATCCTTCCAACTTTGGCTCTGAGAAAGGTCTGGTTGGGAAATGTGACCCAGTTGATAATATCAAGTCCAGCCACCATTTCCATATTTTGATCAAAGGAAACCAGGTCCCCAGCACTGTTGTTGAATGACACCCTTTTCAAAAATCCATGGAACTAGATACATTTGTAAGAAAGGTGGTACTTGGTTATAGCAGTGAAGCCCAGTGAATATAATCAAATCACAAACCCCTTAATGGACACACTTGAACCCACATGAAGCTGCCTTATACTGAATCAGATCCTTGGACACAGTGAGTACTGTCTACTCAGATTGGCAACAGCTCTCCAGGGTCTCAGGCAGAGGTCTTTCTCATCACCAACTGTAAGATGCTTTAACTGGAGATGCTGGGAATTGAACCTGGGACTTTCTTCATGCTAAATAAATTCTATGCCTCTAAGCCACACCCCCATCCTTTAAGGTAAGCAACTGAATGGTTGTGAACAGAAGTTTAATTGCTAAAAATGTCTAGTTTGGTGCCAAGGGTGCCTTTTGCAGTTTGGGGTCTCTTGTTCACCAATTCTGTCTGTCTGATCTGCAGTTTTGGTGAGTACCCCTTGGGCTCAGTCAGTGCTGTCTACTCAGATTGCCAGCAGCTCCAGAGTCTCAGGCAGAAGTCTTTCTCATCACCTACTGTGAGATTCTTTAACTGGAAATGATGGGGATTGAACCTGGGACTTTGAGGGGAGGGTGGGAGATAAGTAAAAACAAACAAATAAAAATTCTACATGCTAAGCAAATACTATGCCTCCGAGCCATACCCCCACCCTTTAATGTAAGCATGGAATGGTTGTGAGACAGAAGTATAATTGCTAAAAGTGTCTGTTTTTGAGTCAAGGGTGAATTTTGCAGTCTGGGTTCCCTTGTACACAAATTCTGTCTGCCTGATATCCACTTTTGTTGAGGACCCTGCAACTAAGTGCCTTCTACCTGCCACAGCTGTTGATTCAGAAGCTTTTTTCTCCCTCCATATGCCAGTGTTCTGTGGTTGAGCATGGACGAATACATGGCATGTAATGCATGTGCCACCACATAGACAGCAGTGTAGATGCTGTAGCTGTGGTCGGTCATGCTCATTTCAAAGACAGACCCAGGAAGACTCTCCAGCTTCTCCTCCCCGGTGCAGATGTCTTCATCAATCATAGCTCCTGTGGTACCAGGGAGTGAACAGCTAAAGGCCTGTTTCCAGAAGTCCCCAATGAAGCCATCTTTTTTTTCAGAGGCAGGGTCTCTTGCCCGAAGAAACTGCCCAAATGCTAACACCTCCCTGGAGTGAACTGCAAAGGATAAAGCACCATGGATGAAGTCTAAGTCCCAGGTTCTTTGAACTGCAATTGAGGTGAAATCCACCTGGGCTGTCAGAATCCAGACTTTGGCTTTTGTCCTCATGGGTATCTCTTTAAATTCTGCAGCCCTCAGCAAGAATCGCAAAACTATTATGGTTTGAATTTCGCCATGTACCACCACTGCTTTGGCTGTGCTTTCCATGACAAGTGTCGATAAGTCATTGTTTCCGACTACCTTTTCAGATAAAGAAGTTAAAAAAGTGATTGCTGGAAACCTTTCTATAAAATCAAAGCAGATACCACACTTAGAAAAGATGGGAAGCACCTCCTCGACAAATTGCTGCTCATGTTCATCCACATAGATCACTCCAACCCATATCCATCTGAAATAAAGCAGTAATTTCAGAATCCCCGTGTACTGATTGGCCCAACTGGGGAACATCTTGTACAGGAAAGCTGCTTCATTTTTGTTGGTCATGGCTGGAGCAGAGCCATAGAGGAGCTGAAGGAAATAAAGGAGACAGCAGATAGTGATTTCATTATCAAATAATGCCCTGGGATGATGAATGTGCCAGGGACAAATGATATACATACCAGATTTTAACACTTGCTACCAAAATCCATAATGCCAATGTTGCCTTCACAGAGTAGTATTTATTAATTAACCTGAGTATGTAAATAAGAAGGAAAGTGGCCTGGCTTGGCCCAATATCCTGAGATCTGAGAAGTGAAGCAGAGTCAGTATTTGGATGAGAGACTACCAAGGACAACTCTGCAGAGGAAATCACGAGGAAACAATCTCTGCTTCTCACTTGCTTTAAAAGCCTCTTGCTGGGGGCACTGTAGATTAGTTGTAACTTTTTTGGGATGGTTTGTGAGTCAATGTTCCCTCTAAGCTGTGGAGTCTTGTGAGCAAAAATTCTACTTTGTGAGCTACTGGAATTAAAATTGTGAGCAAGTGATTTGGCTACTGCATAAATCAGTTTGCTCTGGAGCCACCTCTCCTGAGCTAATATAAAAATGTGCTTAGAGGGAACACTGGTGTGAGTGTGTATCTGCTTGCATACCTGGATGCCATGGTGATTTCTGGCAACCCCTACTGGGGTTTGGAAGTTTTTCAGAGTGGTGGCTTGATTGCCAGCTTCTGTGTCCTGAGCCCTTGTATTCTTTGGGGGTCTCACTTCCGATTACTTGCCAGGGTTGGCCTTGCTTAGCTTCCAAGATCTGACAGGATCAGGCATGCCTCAGCAATCCAGATCAGGGGTTAAATCGGTTGTAACTTTTTTCTTTCTTTCAAATAAGTGTTTTTAATTATTTTGAACAACATATACAACAGTACATTCATAACACATATTAACACCATGCAATAATCAACATTCTCAAATCGGTTGTAACTTGATGGAAGTTTTGGAACATGTAAATAATCCTTTAACTGTTCAAATCTCTTCGCATACTTACAAAACTGTAATCCATACCATCTTATAGTGAAGAGATCCATGTTAGCTCCAGTTGAACATTGGGAAGTAAAAAAATAAAAGTTTGCCTCAGAAATGAACATATATTAAACATGTTGTCATACTCATATCTGGACTTTGAAGTACTGTTTTCTGCTGGAAACAGGAAAACCTGGCACCTAGTTAGAATAATTCTCAAGAGAAGGTTTTGTGTCTGGCCAAAAACACTATGTTCTCAGTTCTCCAGCTATGAATGTCTAGGAACACTCTCAGATGAGACCTAGTGGTTGGTTCAAGTTCACTTAAATTTGGGCTCTCCCTCTCTGAAGAGTGGACACGTACCACACACAGGTCCTTGGAAACACGGTTGAGTTCAAAACCGCTTGTTGTCTTTCATGAGGTGAGGAACAAGATTATGTAAGAACCAAAACATCAGCCTTTGTGTCTTTGGAACGAGTATACTTGTTTCCATTTTGTATTTTCTTTTTTTAATGGAAAACATTTTCCTCATATAATATAGAGACAAACAAATATGAAAAAACCCAATATATTTTTTTCACAAATGAAGATATGCATAGAACCAATTTAAAATAAGGGGAATGAAATCCAGGAGTGCTGGTGGTGGTGGAGAGCGCCATCAAGTCGTAGCCAACAAATGGTGCCCCCTTAGGGATTTCAATGTACCCTTAGGGATACTATGGTGCTGGAGAAGACTCTTGAGAGTCCCTTGGACTGCAAGAAGATCAGATCAGTCAATCCTAAAAGAAATCAACCCTGACTGTTCCCTGGATGGCCAGATAATGGAAATGAAGCTCAAATACTTTGGCCACCAAATGAGAAGGGAGCACTCACTGGAGAAGACCCTGATGCTGGGAAAGATTGAAGGTCAAAGAAGACGGGGACGGCAAAGGATGAGATGGTTAGACAGTGTCATCGATGCAACGAACATGAAATTGAGCCAACTTCAGAGGACGGCGGAAGACAGGAGGGCCTGGCGAGATCTTGTCCATGGGGTCGCGAAGAGTCGGACTCGACTGAACAACAACAACAAGGGATTTCAAGAGAAGAGATAAACAGAGGTGGTTTGCATTGCCTGCATCTGTGTAGCAACCCTCGACTTCCCTGGTGGTCTCCCATCCAAGTACTAATCAGGGGGCCAAACATACTCAGATTCCAAGCTCTGACCAGCCTGGGACATCAACATCAGGGCTAGAAGCACCACACACTTTATGTTAACAAGCAACACTATCTACCATAAAAGAATTACACTCTGAAGGTCTAACAAAGCACAAAATCTTTGACTTCTTTTCAGTGAGTGTATCAGAATATGAGAAAGCTTTCATGTAAAAATGATATGTTGGATCCAACAAGCATTCCACACTTTCTCACCCAGTTCTCCTCCAGACTACAGCCTCCATCTCACGTGGTTTTTGTTCATGCAGATGCCATGATTCCCTTCATAGAGAGTATTGATAGTCAAAGGGACCTCTTATTCCTTTTGTTCCAGGAAAAAAGCTTTTTGCATCCAACCCCTATATTTTCAACCTATGAAGCATTACTGTGCACTAATTTCAGCAAGGAATTCCACTTCCTTTGATGACACATATAAGAATGGTAACATAATGATATTCCCTCTTGAATCAACCTCAACAACATTTTCAACATTTTTATTACAGTTCACTGCCCACTTCAGGCAGCTCAAAATCTTTAACCAGCCCCCAAATTTTGCCAGTTTTTTAAAAAATATCTTATCCATGCTATACTACTAAGGTTTTCTTAGTCAACAGTAGAAACTTTCCTCAAAACCATTAATCCATCTTCTCCTATCTGAAAGTAATTAGCAAGATGGGGGGGGGGTCAAATTCATATCGACATTATCAAAGAGAATAAGAATTTGCAGCACTTGTCCAAAACTGCTTCATGACCTGTCTCAGAACTGATGTTCTGCCCTCGTTTTGCTCCTTTTAAAAACAGACAAAGGCCATGGCAAACCACCTCTGCTCATCTCTTCCCTTGAAAACCCCATAGCCCTATGGTCACCATGAGTCATGTATGGCTGCGAGAGTTGGACTATAAGGAAGGCCGAGCGCCGAAGAATAGATTATTTTGAACTATGTTGCTGGAGAAGGCTCTTGAGAGTCCCTTGGACTGCAAGAAGATCAAATCAGTCAATCCTAAAAGAAATCAACCCTGACTGTTCCCTGGAAGGCCAGATAATGAAACTGAAGCTCAAATACTTTGGCCACCAAATGAGAAGGGAGCACTCACTGGAGAAGACCCTGATGCTGGGAAAGATTGAAGGTCAAAGAAGACGGGGACGGCAAAGGATGAGATGGTTAGACAGTGTCATCGACGCAACGAACATGAAATTGAGCCAACTTCAGAGGACAGCAGAAGACAGGAGGGCCTGGCGGGAGATGGTCCATGGGGTCGCAAAGAGTCGGACTCGACTGTGCGACTGAACAACAACAACAACAACACTCTAAAAACTAGGCAATCCTTTGTGGTCAACTAGTGAAAGTGTGGAAACATGATTCTGTACTCTAGAAACCAGAAAACACTTCAATTGATTTTGCTGAAGAATATGTTTGAGTCTCTGTACACAATAACATGCTCTAAGAGAAGGCAAAAATGTTTTCTGTTATCGTAACGATTCCTGTCTGCATAGCTAAACAAATACCCATGAATTATTTTGTCTCTCAGTTCTAAATAATCTCTCTCTCTTATGTTCCTTTTTCAGCATGCAGGATGTGCCTCTGGTATTGCAAACAGGCTAATTTCTGCCTTCAGACCTTAAAATCACTTCTAAAGGCAAAGGAAATGTTAATGGCTTGTAATACTTCCATCAACCATGAGGCCATTTTACCTGTGGAATCTTGAAAGGGCACAGAATGTCTGCCACATAAAAACACAAATTAGAGTTAGGTCCTTCCAAAACTGCAACTAAGTTGTTCTGATTATCACACTTGTAGTTAGGAATGAGCCTCCCCTTAGTGGAGAGAAGTTCCATTGCAGCATGATAGGTCAAGCTTGGACTAAAATAGTTATTATAGGTGTGGATCCCCAGAGTAACATTGGGTAAGAGCTGAGGATTTTCATTGATCTCCTTGACAGCAAACACCAAAGCCAGGATATTCTGGTAAAGCTGAGTCAATACTCTGCAATGAGAGTGGTAAACAGCATCACAACAAGTTCACTTCAGAAGATGGCATTTAATGCATTTCAGTGCAACATCACTTCACTAAAAACTGAAAGGATCAAATTCTATATTGCTGAAGCCTGGTAACTACGAGGGCTGACACAACTGACTTCTAACTTCTCAAAACGTCAGTTCAAAAGTGGAATGGTTTGGAAACTTATTTGATAGCACATGTACTCATTGTCATAAAGAGTTTCTAATGCTTATTGCAGTCTCCTTCCGGTGTGCATGTTTTTGGTGGCGGGGGGGGGGGTATATCTCTCTTGTGCTCAATATTCTATAGAAATGTTCATGACGGGCGTCAAAATCCAGAGGCTGGTTCTATACAATGTAGGAAGCTTACATTTGAGAAACAGGGACACTTGAAATGTCTTCTACTGAATCATACCCTTGTTTCATCAAAATTAGTATTGTCTACTCAAATTGACAGGATGGCCTGGTGTAACATGGTCCATGGGGACACGAAGAGTCGAACCCGACGGTGCGACTGAACAACAACACTCAAATTGGCAGCAGTTCCTTAGGGTCTCTGGCAGAAGTCTTTCACATCTCCTTCTGCCAGATTCTTCACCTGGAGATGCCAGTTATTGAACCTTGGACCTTTTGATTGCCAAACAAATGCTCTAGCACTGAGCCATGGCCCCACCCAAGCTCCAGTTCTGCTAATCTAACAGAAGCCATATCCAGTTGAAGGTGTATTTTAAAGGTGGGTGGATCCTTGAATCAGGGAGAAAGTTCCACTGGTCACAACACAGCAAAGTTTATAATTCAATTCCCAATTAATCAAAAGTTCATTGTTGTTCTTTTTCATGTGAGCCTCAAAACACAGGAGATCATTTTTTTCGCTACTAGAACACATGCAACTTAAGATGAAGATTCATTGGGAGGGAGACCATGACTATCGTAGCACATTAAGCCTTCCATTGCAATACACTTAACATAATAAAGCAATACTATGGAAGAAAAATCCTTCTTACACAATTGAATCTGAGGAACTGGGAGAGGGATGCACTTCAAATTTGACAGAATCAGAAAACTTAAACACATAACTGATGATTCCAGCAATGAGAAGGTCTCCTGATTGATAATACTTGTGAACAATAGGAGGTGGGCGACTGGTGGAGCATTGAAAAGAAGATTTGCACACGACCTGCACCAGCAGCACTAACACGGAGGCAACAAGTAGCATCATCTTCCATGAAAATATTTCTCATAGACACTAATTCATCTGTTCTCATGTTAACATTCAAGCATTCCTCTGTAGCACATCTTGAGATGGAAGGCACACTCACTAGACTGATTCAAAGCCACAATGGGACAGTGTAACATATCTGTCAACAGACAGCTCTCCTCAGTCTCTCTTTCCAGCTGTGGGTGGCAGAGGGAGCAGCAATACCTTATCCCCCACCCCCATGATCACTGGAACTCCCAAGGGATGGAGAAAATAAGTAGAAGTGATGATGACTACTTTGCTGATTACTGGGAAGGTAATTGACCTACTCGGATGGTGGATTTTCTGCAACTTTGCAGAAGACAATATGTTGACTACATTTTAGCAGACATGTTCTCTGAACCTCCTCAGTGGTACACAGACTTGTAGCAACTGAACAACAATGAGAAAGGCAACCAGAAAAACAAGGCCTTAACAAGTGCATGTCTAGAGGCATCATAAAACCTTCTGTATTACAAATTTGGTCTGTTTCTAGGGTTTATTTATTTATTTATTTTATTTACATCTCACTCTCCCTGCCAAGGCAGGCTCAGGGTAGCTTACACAAACTAAAACAAGAATTAAATAAAAGACCGGTGCTTGCAGCGGCATTTGCCTGCCCCCCCACCATCTTCTTGGATGAAGCACAGGTGGGGCAAGCCAATCATGGCTCAGCATGTGAGCGCTGGCCAACCAAGGGTGAGCTCGCTGGCTAGGTCTGGTGGCAGCCGCCCTCCATGCTCAGATTGGTCTAGCACAAGCTCCCCACCCATCCGCCCTCCTGGACCATGTGGGATTAGCTGGTCACCGTTTTGCGGGGCTGAGCAGGAATTTTGGGCCTCTCTCAGATTGGCCACACGGGGGCCTTTTTTCTCCTGCTTCATGTGGTCAAAGGGGTGAGGTTTAAATAGGCCAGGCAAAGCTGGTTAGGCCTTAACTGGGATGGCAGGAAAAGCATGGGTTGAGGGGATTTGGAATTGACAAGCACCCTGAGATATCAGTGATAGGGGGAAGTCTTCATGCTGGGTTCCTATGGGCTGTGCAGTCAGGGTGACTCAGCTGGGGGTCTCTTTGGGGTGGGGAGCATATGACAAGTCTTAAGGCTTTGCGGCTGTGGGTTGGCATGTGCCCTTCCTTCCCCTCTGTGCACTGGCATGCGGGCCATGATGAGTAAGGTCCGGAAGGATCCTGGACCTGGCTCGGAGCCAGGGTGGGTTTGCCCTACCAGTGCAGGCCCAATGCAACTCATGCTTTAATGCAGATCAGCTTATGGATAAATAAAATTCCCAGTTTAACCCATTGTGTTTCATTCAAGGGGTGGGCGGGCAATCATAACAATGCCATTGTAAATATGATAAAATATAAAGTGCTAGTTTGTATCAGATGGCGGGCATAGCAGCATCCTCTGGTGACAGCTGGCTGACATTGAGTCTGGATTGATTGGCTGTCAACAATGATGTTAATGTTAGGGCCACAGATTATTGGGTGTGGCTCCCTAATCAAAGGCCTGGTGGAAGAGCCCCATCTTGCAGGCCCTGCAGAACTGTAAAAGGTCTCACAGGGCCCTGATGTCCTCTGGAAGATTGTTCCACCAGTGCGGAGCTGCCACTGGGGCAAGTGATGCACTGTATTCTTGATGCTCAGGGGGCAACAGTGGGAGGGTTTCTAGTTTCCTGGCCCCACTGGTAGACCTCCTGATGGTACCTGGTATTTTTGGCCACTGTTTGACAGATTATTGGACTGAATGGGCCATTGGCCTGATCCAACATTGGCTTCTCTTATGTTCTTATGCTTATGTTCTTATTGTCTATTCCATTTCTTGAAATTGCTTGACTGTTCCATTTTTTTCTATTTTCTTCTTAGATCTGTACTCCGGTTAGGGTTTGTTTGATGCCTTGTATGCCTGGGAAAGCCAAGAGTCATCTGCACAACAAAGAGATGTCCTGAAGCTTAGACTTCACACCTGGCCAGATAGTGTTCCATGAGATAGAGTGTAGAGTTTCAAATATTGGCCCAACCCATAGAATACCTGCCCCTTTTCTACATGCACCAATGATGGAGGTCATGGGATGGACTTGTAAGTAGGTGGGATTACAGTTTGGCAAGGTGCCACCCACCTGGAGTTTCAACTATAAAACGCAAAGAGGTGTCGGGCTAGCCACATTCTACCATCAATGCAAAGACCATGCTTCAGGTCTTTCAGCTGGCCACATTCTACTAGCCCCCCCCCTCTTTCCTGCTTTAAAACTCTTTGTCTTTACCGGATCTCTTTGGGATGCACAGCCAAATAGATCCACACACACTAGCTAGCTGGTTCTGGCAGTGTGAATTAGTAACTACCCCTAGAACTATTCCTTACCCTCCAATTTTTCCTTGCAACAGACAAGACTTCTGGAACAGGCAAGTATGAACCGATATAGATACCTACCTACCTCCAAGTAAATAAGAAACTATCTTAATATCTTTCTGTAACTCTTAAGGAACCTTGAGTGTATGTGAATGAGAGACTGATGTTTTTGTATGTGCTTAGTAAAAAGAATATTTGTTTTGGAAAAACACCCATGTGATCTCCATTACTGGAACTCTGGGTTCAGACACGACCTTGGTATAGCTGGCCAGGACTCATGTTAAATTTAGTTGCCAACTGTCGTAAATAAGGCAGTTTGCGTAACACACTGGACTAGAATGTAGTGATAGAAGGGGAAAAAGCTCCTTAAATTACCTCAAAACAGTGGAAGTCGATAGAAGAGTGCAGAGAGGTACTGTGACTTTCGCATATTGTATTATTTATTTATTTACAAAACTTATATCACACCTTTTTCTGTCCTCACGGGGGCCAACCAGATGGCAACAAATTAAAGGATATATAAAATAGCATCTCGTCTCTTTAGCAATGGGGGAATTTCTCCTTCTTGGTTGCTGTCTCTGCTCACAATGGCTAACATGTGCTTCTTCTTCCCATGATGCTCTGAGCTGAATGTGTGCAAGCTTCATTAACATGAAATGCAGGCAAGGCTTCCCTATGTGAAACCTCTCACAGTAGGTGATGCAAACAGCTTCCTTTGGCCCATGGTATACAGATGTGCATGCACAGTTCATGTGTTGCATGTGTAGCAGATATAAAACCATAGATTAGTCCATTGCTCAACAAGTGGCATTTTAGGGACCAACAACATTTTCAGGGTATAAGCTTTCGAGTGTCAGACCTCCCTTCATCAGATCCAAAGGAGCTATTCAACTCAAATCTGGCTGTTCTACTGCTGACTGACATGGTTATTGTTTGGACGATTCTCTTTCTTACAGCAAGCCATTTATTCCGGCCCTACCTGTAGCCATCAACAACGTGCTGCAGGAGGGCCCCCGTTGCCTCCTCGTGAGAGAAGGAGGCTGGCCTGCTACATGCAGCTGGGCCCCTGCTGGGGAGCAGAGCTGTCAGCTGTGCTCCACCTTGCCAGTCTTTGCCTCATGCCTGGCCCACCCATCCACCCTGTCAGTAGTGCAGGCTTCAGGCTGGCTGCCCCTTTGAGCCAGTTTGGTGTAGTAGATAAGTGTGAGGATTCTAATCTGGGAGAAGTGTGATTCCCCGATTCTCCACCTGCAGCTGCTGGATGACCTTGGGCAAGCTAAGTTCTGACAAGAGCTGTCTCAGCCCCACCTACCTCACAGAGTGTCTGTTGTGGGGAGGGGAAGGGAAAGGAGTTTGTAAGCCACTGTGAGACTCTGAGTGAAATCCAATCTCCCCCTCCTCCCCCTCCTCCCCCTCTTCTTCTTCTTCTTCTTGATGGGGGGCTGGGTAGGAAATTTGTTTGCCTCTTTTCTGATTAGCAGCTGAGAAGGGGTGTTTTTTGCATACCCTGCACAGCAGTTAGCAGATTGTGGAATTGTCATAGGTGGCACCACCGTATGATAAGTTTGTCACTTTATAGTTAGGGCAGAGTTATATCTTTGGGGGGAGTTTATGTGGCTTGGTAAGCACCAGTCAACAACCCAGTGGGGGTGCAGGGGTCTTACAGGATCATCCCTGCAGATGCGTGGCCAGGGATGAGGATGGCAGACTGCCTTAGGGATTGCCAGACGGATCCCCCACACAGGTTGTGCATTGTGTTGGAGGGATCTTCATGGCATATCCCGTTGATGTGCTGGCTGGGTGTGAGCCACTTACATTTGGCTCCACCCAGGGGCAGGGTGGCTTGCCCGTATGGCAAGGATGGGGGATATAGGACCCCAGGCTTTGTCCATGCCACTGTTTACTGTTTCCCCTTGCTGTTATGATGTAATTTAAAGTGGCCCTCAGTTTCCCAAACTATGGTTGTCTGACTCTTTCTTCTGTCTGGGGGGGGGCAAATAGTCTATATCCCAATAACAGCCTTAATTTTAGTTCAGTTGAACAAAGTTCACTGCTTACTTCTGCACTTGGGAATACAAACTGGAATATCTTTGGTTGCATGCGATAAATAAACATTTTTTCCCTTTAAGTAATTAATTAATCCTCATTGTTTATTTTGAAATCTGACCTGTATTGAAATGCATGCTA